AGAGACACTTTAAAAATTGCCTCGAAAACTTTTACTCTAGAAACATTTTCAGCTCAGTTTATTTGATTTTATCTTGATGCATTCTTTCGGCACGGTAAAATGTGCCTGATATGTAAAGGCATTTTCTTAAGACATTTTAGACTATGTAGAGACACTTTTTAGAATGATAATGTGTACTAAAGGACTAAATATAAATAATTAAAGGCATAAACATACGAGTAATGACATGGAGTTGAGTTGGTTAATGCATCAAGAGATCTTGAGTTTAAAGCCTAACTAAAGCAAGGAAACTATTTTATTCTCCTCTTTTGGACTAGTTTCATATGTTTGGTACAATTTAATTCCTTTTTTTACTAGTTTCATATGTTTGGTACAATTTAATTCCTTTTTTTACTAGTTTCATATGTTTGGTACAATTTAATTCCTTTTTTTACTAGTTTCATACTATTTTATTCTCCTTTTTTTTTGACTAGTTTCATATGTTTGTGGTACAATTTAATTCCTTTTTTGGACTAGTTTCATATGTTTGGTACAATTAAATTCCTTTTTTTGACTAGTTTAATACATTTGTGGTACAATTTAATGTCTCTAGAAAATGACTCTACCATCTAACATGCATTTTATAAAATATATCTTCATATGTAGAGACAAATCATCATAAGACACTTATTAGACTTTTTAAAAATGCCTCTACAGTATTGTAAAGGTATTTGAAAAGTGTCTCTACAGTAATAGAAAAATATCTCTACAAAGTATTTTTCTTATAGTGACATTATACCATCAGTTTAAACTGTCTATTATACTTGCTCTTAATAAATTTATAGTAAGAGAGAGAGAGAAGGAAAACAAATAGAGCTAACATTATAGACATGTACATGTGAGCTCTGCAAGGAAAAGCGATCGAGCTCTACTATTAAACTTGCTAGCTTTTAAGTTAAAACACATGTGATGCAGTACACTAGTCATCATGTAGGAAATGAGTAGGATTAATTGCAAATGTGCAATTGTGTTAATTAAGTTACTAAAACATATGTGATGCCGTAGTCATCATCTCGGAAATGATGGGTAGGGATTAATTGACAAAATTAGAATGTGGCCACAGCATGGATCAGGCCCATGTGCTTTCGTCAGTGTTTTTCTTTCCTTTCGCTTTTGTTGATCATGTATGCATATGCTGGAATTTTGTGGTAGCCAGCGAAGAATAGTGACAGAAAGGCTAAGAAAAGATGTCTTGTACGCGTATAGCAGTGGTATACATATGCAGCTTGATCTCTGCAGGCCCTACCTGTAATTAATTAGTGAATGGATTATATATAATTTTCTATTATACTACCTGTATTAATCTATCTGTCCTACAACTATCTTCTTAATTTGTGCCTGCCCATCAGCCGGCCTTTCTCTAGCAAAGACATGTGTATACGCTTAATTGTCTCTGCTTATATATTGTGATTGTATATATTAACGCGTACACGCCATCTATACTTAGTATTCATGAATTGTGTTGTGTTGGCCATTTAGCATGGAATTAATGTTTTCTTGGTAACCAATTACTTACTAAAACACCACTTGTTTGATTCATTGGTTTGTCTGGTTATTGTGATTGTATATGTGTGTATATATAGTACTACCAGGGCCCAACCCTACTGGAATTGGAGGTAGCTAGCTAGCTAGAGAGGATCAGTATATATATGTGTGTTTATCTCTTGTATGCTTGCTTTGATTGGTGATTCCAACAATAATTAATTAACTATATCATCTTCTTGGTGTTTTCTTAACTTTGTCTTACGTGTGGGATTAGTGATGAGCCTCTTTTGCTTTGGCCGGCCTCTCCTGCATCGTGCATGTGCTTTGTTAGGTCGATTGATCACATCCCTAGGCAGTTTACTGATTTGCCAGAAAGGAAATAAAAACTAATTAATAATGTGCTCTTGAGAAAATAAAATCCCTTTTTAATTGTGAAGAGAAAATATCCAATACACACAAGCTTCCTGTGTACACTCTGTGCATACCAATTAGCAAATATCCTAGAAAATTCTAGAAAAAATTGGACACATACTTCCAATAGTATTACACATATCTGTAAAGTCTCATATTCAAATTCATTATATTTTAGCCGTAACAAAAATGTGAAAAATCTGGCAGTTTTAAGAGTTAAAATATATCAAAATTTTGTCTTTTTGTTACGGCTAAAAAATATATAATGAACTTTTAAATAAGATTTCACTCATAGGAGTGTGTTCATTTTCTCTAGAATGTGTTTATTTTTTCTAGAATTTTTTATGATATTTGTTAGTTGGTGTGCACGAAATGTGCAGGATAAGCTTATGTCCATAGGATGTTTCCTATAGTGATATGATTATTTAGGCATATATATTGCTATAGTTTTTCACTGTCTATTGGAGCTATAGCTGCAAAATTGTCATACTGATTCGTGCACACACTGGCATTACTTGCTTCAACAACAGGGTGTCTCAACTAGCATGTACACGTGTCACATGAAGATAACACTTTCCAAAAAAAATGCCTGGCTTTCCAATATTTTTACAAAAGGAATATTCAGCAAACAATTAACAAACTATAAATTACTCAAATCTAGCACATATATGTGTATGTACTATATGTGGCAAGTGCACTGTTACTTTCTCACAGTTGCTAGTAGGCAGTAGCTCCCTATATATGCATGGTCCTCTAATCCCATATGCATTCATGCAATATGGCACTAATTAATTACAATTAATTCGATTATATATGATTATGATGACACAGGAGTACCCAGCAGCTACGGCCTACAAACTACAAGCCAGCAGCTTTCTGTTACACCTTCCGCTTAAGAAAGCGATCCAATCTCTCTTGTTGTTAGCAAAGCTAATTAAACTTAATTGATGAGATGCCAAATGCAAAGGCTTTGATTTGCCGCTGTCAGCAAAGCTCTCTCTACTTTTATATTTTGAGCGAAAATTTGTCAGCTAGCTCTTGCATGGATATATTATCATCATATCGTACGTACGTACAGTGTCATTATCTTAATCCAATAATTAATCTGGGTTTTACTCTTTTGCTCCCTAGCTTCTTGTTGTTTCTTTCACGTCGCTTTTGGTAGTACACCTAGGCTTGGTCCGGGTGCATGACTTTGACTCCTCAATTTCGTGCATAAAATTGACAGGAAATCGGGAAGGAGGTACGGACGCAGGATTTTACAAAAGATGGGGGGTACAAACTTGAAAAGAAACATCAATTAACATATGGAAAAACTTAAAAGTTTTTTTACTAGAGGAAAAAAACTAAACTATGTAAAAAGATATAAATAGTAGCTCACTATAAAAACGATTTTCCTGTATAAGGAGCTCTTTTGATTGCAAACGGACCGTAATTGGTCGCGTCTGCAAAAAAATCCTCCCATTTTCGCGTGCAGACCGTTAAGAGTATCGCAAGCGAAAATCGATTTTCGCAGGTGGGCACGTAAAAATAAGCCTATTTTTGCAGGCGGATCTCTTAAGGGGCCACACGATTTTCGTGTGCGGGCCTCTTAAATGCCCGCCTACAAGTCTATCCTCCCTCCTCTTTTCCCTGCTCAACACTTCAAAATTTCATCCTTATCCACTCATCCTTATCCTCTCCTCTCCTCTCACACTCTCTCACTCTGTCTCCTCCCTCACTGTCCTCTCGTGGTCATGTGTGGGCGACGCGGCCGACGACGGGCGGCGGCGCGTACGGCGGTGGGCGGCGAACGCGGACGGCGGAAGCGACCGGCTCGGTGGCCGGCGGATCCGCCTTTGCCGGCCTTGCGATGGGCGACGGTCAACGAGGGACGGAAGGCGGTGGATCCCTCGCTCTCCCCCGCACAGCTCCGGTGGCAGGCTCGAGCGGGAGGCCGGCGGGGCTCTCCCCTGCCCTCTCCCGCGTGGATCTAGCGGCGGGCGGCGCGGTGGCCACTGCCGACGAGGAGGAAGAAGAGGTGGCCGGGAATGGCGTCCTTGGCCCCACCACGGCCGGACCCGTGCCCCCCGACGATGACGAGGAGGAGGAGGCGGCAGGCGGGAGTGGCGCCGCCAGCCCCACGCGCACGCGCGCTGGGCGGATCTGCGCCGCCCTCGCCGCCGACAAGGAGGAGGAGGCGGCGGCCGGGAGAAGATCCGCTGGATTCTAGGGTTTTTGTTTTTTCGAATTTTAATTTTTTCCATGCGGGCGACGTAAGCAACCGCATGCGATTTTCGCGTGCGGGTGCGCCACCCTCATATTAAAATCAGATTTTCGCATACCTTTTGGTGCAGACGGGTTGGGCTTACACACGCGAAAATAGGTTTCGGCCCGCACAGAAAAATTGTTTTTGTAGTAGTGGATTTTTTTTGTTTGAATTGTTTGGGGTTATTTTGCAATTTTGGAATCAACTATAGTTTAGTCAACAAATCATTTTACACATATATAATACCTAACAAATCCAAGGGTATTTAAGAAAATTTTGAGGTATAAGTGTAGCACATGTCCCATGCTGTGTCCGCCATGTGTACGTATTATATAGATAGGCATAGATATCATGATCGGTGTTTTATGGAGAAATTTTTGTATGGGCCTGGAATATTTGGAAGCAAAGGAATAGTTTCATCTTTGAGAATACTCTTCCTTCCTTGGTTTATTGGAGAACACTCCTTAAGGGTGATCTCCTTCTTTTGTTATTTAGACTGAATGAATGTGAAAACTATAGTCTTGAACTGGATTAGATTGTGGTAATCTTTTATATTTTCCATTTATTATTAATAAAATTTTTTAACGGCGGGGGCCTCCCTGCTGTGTTTCTTATAAAAAAATGTATTATATAGATTGCATATTATTGCCACCTTCTTTATTGTCGATAATGTAGATATTAAGATGGTATATATGTGGGGATATTGTTTTATCATTGACTAGATTATCATGTTAACCCCACGTATGATATAACCGCTATAAATTTAGGCCCATATGGGGTAAAGGGAATAGTTTCAAAAGTTCAAAACGATGTACGATTTGATAGAGTTCATGACTTAATTTTATAATTCAGTGAAATTTCCAAATTATAAAATAGATTTTTGTCATGGAGAAATTGTGAAATCATGTGATAAGCAATTGTCAAAAGTAAGTGTTTTGTGAAATTGTAGTGAATAGTATTTTTGAATGGTGAATAGTGTGCTTGGCACTAGAGGCTGATCAGACCGAGCAGGGCCTTCCAAGCAGATCGGAAGTGTCCGAGCGGTTTGATCGGGCAGACCGACGACTCTAGGAGGGAGTCGGTTTGAGGTGTTTGGGTGGATTTTCTAGATTGCTTCATATTGATGACTTCTAGATGGTTTCTATACGTATGTGATATTATTGTGTGCTGATGTGAGTCAAGTCGTTGGTACAAACTTTTACTCGGATATGGAGTTTCTTTGTTATTCATGTGCGGGTGTTGCTTGAAACCAATGGAGTATTGTGGTGATGGATCTGGACAAGGCTTGGGAGAAGTTGAGATCCAGACGGTTAAGGAGATCATGCGTGATACTAAGGCTAGAGAACGATGCATATGAAGGTGAAGGTTTCTATATGACATTACGTGGTGTTGTGTGCATGTGGAAAAAGGAGTCAAATTTGGATTGGAGTTCAAGTTTAGGAATATTGGAGTGTGAAGTTGTAAAGGGATGTTGTTTCCCTAGTTTGAGGGGTTTCTTATGTGATTAGGAGTCCTAATTATATTTGGATTCGTGGATAGGTGTAGCCATGTTTTGGGTATAAATAGAAGAGTGGTTGAGGCTAGAAGTATATCAACTTTTAGGAGAGAAATATTAGGGTTTGCTTCTAGGCTTCGATTATAGTTCATGACTTAAGAGAGGAGTGCTTTGGATGCACATTATAAATATCTTGATGCAATAAATTTGATCTATATTCAAGATCATATTTAGTTTGATTTTCTCTAGATCCCAACGGTCTAACCGATGGCAAAGGAGCAGTCAAGCCGGCAGTGGCGGCGATGGTGGCAGCAAGTAGACGAGGAGAGCGACTGGAGGTCTGACTAATCGGTAAGGCAGTGGTCTGATCGGTGAAAAGCAGTTATTTGACCAATGTTAATCTAGTGGTCTGACCGGTGCACTCCATTAGATTTAAGGGTCCTTTTAGTTCCATAAAATGATTTGGTTTTTGTGGTCCTACCATTCCCTCCTCTGATAGTATTCGATATTACAAAGTGGTATCACAACTCTGTTTGCTATTTGGATCTTTATCGATCTTTGAGTTTTTGTCATGACTGAAAAGTTTTCGACCAAGCCTTATTTTTTTTATGGAGTTGATTTTCCTTATTGGTGCAAAAAAATGAATCTTTTATTATCTCAAAGTTATGATATTTGGCAAAAAGTTGATAACCCCTACGAGATTTAGTGTTGTTCTCAAAGTTGATTTTGAAAATAATTGTAAAGCTTGCAATATTCTTGTTAATGGAATTTCTTGTTCGAATTTCGATCGGGTTTCGCGTCTTGACACTGCGCTTGAGATTTGGATGTCTTTATTTGATTTTCATTAAGGTACTTCCAATACCAAGGAATTACGCAAAGAAGTTTTTAAAAAGAATTACATAAAATTTGAGATGAAATCTGGAGAAGCTTTAGATGACTATTTTGCACCTTTTAACAAAGTTTTGAGCAATCTTCGATTTATTGATGAGTCTTTTGATATTAACAATTCTTAATTTGAAATTGCTCAATATCTTTTGAAAAGTGTTGATATGTAAATTTGGGAGATGAAAGTCACTTTGATTCAAAAGTCTGGTGATATGTCTTATTTGAGTTTTGAATTCTCTTTACACTAAACTGAAAACTCATAAAATGAATATTAGTTACCTCAAGACTGATTTGAAATCTACTCCTTTGGTTCCTTCTTCGAGCTTCCATTGATGCTTCTTCTTCATCGGTTTTTACGAGTTTTGAGTGCCATGTATGATGATCAATTTGAGCAACTAGGTGAGGAAACCTTGGTTTTGATTACTAACAAGTTCTCTTGAGCTTTGAAAAATTCGAAGAACATGAAGCGAGGTTGACTAGTTCGGTGCTTTGAGTGTGGAGTTCAACCACATCAAGTACAATTGTCGTAAACACAAGAAGACGATCAAGGAGGAGGAAGTTGACAAGAAGCATAAACAAGAAAGAAAAAATAGTCGCAATTAGCCTGAGGAAGAAGGATGCATAGCTATTGTGCATTTTTAACATTCCTTAATACTCTCTCTATTTCATATTATAAGTCGTTTGACTTTTTTCTTTTGGTGTGGTAGTTCTTCTTCTGCTGCTAGAAGTACATGTATGATAGTCTTTTACCACTGTCACCTGCAAATCAAATGGAAGAAACCTTCAATATACAATCATTATGAGACAACATACAATTATCATCGAAATCAACAAATATATACCATCACTCTCTGCTGATTAGGTTGCTTATGCCCAACAGTATGCCAAGGGAAACTTTCCACTTTACAACCACCTATAGATCGTTCAGGATCAGTTTTTAGCACATGTAGCTCAAATTCCTTGTTTATGGCAAATTGCCACATAGACAATCTAAACTCCATACTTAATTCTAGCCTTCATGCAAGGATTATCAGGGTCGTGGGGGCATCACCAACTCTCTAGGCACTTCATGACAGGTATTGCAGCTCCTTTGGTGTCTTCAGTACCACCATCTGCACCGGTAGCAGCATCTGCAGCACCCACACCATCTGCAGCAGCATAAGCTCCATCACCACTAACAACCTGTTTAGACATCTCGGCTTGCTCATCCTCAGCCCTCAAACCCAGCAACTTGTAGAATTTTTCATCCCCAATGATATCTAGCCACCCTTCATCATCATTTGGGGGCAAGAACCTCTAGCCTATCCCAATCCACAATATCGGTAGGAACATATGGGGCATCAACAATAGGGACTGAAACTAGTCCATTACCCCATCGGTCGCAACGAGGAAAACAAAATCGTCACCAAATTCAGGTCCAGCTACCACGATATTAGGTTCTAACATAGCTAATTAAGCTAAGCGCAGGCTCCTCCTCAAGCTTGAAGGAAAAAAAAAGGTGGACGAATGTTAGAGTCCTCTCTAACTGATTCGCACCACTCGCAAGAACAAATACATGCAAGAATCGATTTGAAAACCAAAAAGAAGTTGAAGTTCTTACCCCATCAGTAGCTCATGCCAGGTGCGCTTTGTCGATACCATCCTGCGCCTAAGCTAGCACCATTTGGTAGTGACGGTTTTGTGCGCCAGGTGCTAGGTTGCCACTCGACATGGTGGCCTCGACGCTAGCGGCAGTGGCGGTGGCGGTGATGGCGATGACGGGAGCGGTGGTGGTGGTGGCGGCTGCGGCGATGATGGGAGCGCCTGGATCTGGATCCCCTTTCCTCTGCTCCACGAGTGGCCAAGCTAAAAGAAGCAGCTTGTAGGGGTATTTTCGTCAGCCCGGGTGCGAAATTTGGTGGAAATGGAGAGAATTAGCGAATATGGTAAAAGAAATATTTGGCATCGCTTGGGCGTGGCATTTTAATGAATCCAATTAGCGGAATGTCATTTAGGCAAAACTCTTTAGTAGTGGCAAAATGTTCAATTTCTTTTCTAAAACGGACTATGCAGTAATTAGTAAAATTAATGAAGCATCCTTGAGTTAAATAAGAGACATCTACTTATTTTATATTTGAACTTAATTTCTACTACTATGTGCATTGCGTTTGCTGCTTTGGTCAGCAGTGCAACTAATCGTCTGACCACGAATTAATAATGCCAATAATGTCTACTATCAAGGACACTACCAACCCGTACTCACAAGTGGCTCTCAAATTATCCATTAACTGAAATGCGATGACCTGTACTATAGTATAAATAAAAAATTTTATGGAACGTTGTGACTTGTGAGGATTGCTGATCACGCTACGTAATTAAGACAATCAGTAGGTCGTCAAAGTCATTATGGAAGTAAACTAACGAAAAACGTCGTGACTTGACGAATAGAAATAATATATGTTCTTCTCACCTCTCATGTGAAAATTAATTTTGGATCTAACACATCATCTTTGGCAGTCGTCACGGTTTACGTCGTCTATACCCACGGCTCTCCATGATTAAATTGTTGTTTAATTATTCATTTAAAGGGTTTCTAAAACAATCCATTTTGCTCTTGCGGAAGATCAGGGGAAAAAATTACTAGCTGGCGTTCTAACTAATGGAGGCCACCCCACCCTGCAATTTATAGCTTTCGCGAAACACAAGAACTTTTATAGAATTTTCATATGAATTAGTTCATTTTATACTGAATTTCTCTAGTAATTTATAGAAAACCAATTGCATGTGCAGGTGAATCTTATGCTTGAAACCTTAGAACCACTATCTTGAAAAATTCTGCCAATAATTTTGCTGCTTTCCAAACATGTTTTTTTTAAGATAATGGAATAGATAACATATCAGCCTTTGCTTAATAGAGTTATAGCCAATTATTAAAAAATACACTCAAACAAAGAGTGTAGTTCAAATAAAATTAAACATACTCAAACAGAAATAAAAGTGACCAAACCAAGATAAAAAGCACACAATTATTTAAGTCTATTTGTAAATCTCCACCCATAGTTGGCAAAATGTTGCATGGCCGCCGTCTTAAGCTTATGACATGCAACCTTCGAAAGCTTCTTCATCATACCTTAAGAAACATGTTAGCCAACAATCAACATGATCTCTAGAAAATCCTTCTGCCAGAAACTTCCTTCGTCTCCCATTAAATTTCTCTAAATTTCCTTCATTAATTCCAAACTGAACTTTATAATTAAAGTGTGATATATATAAGTAATCTAGGTTTCTCATTAATTTGATAGTATTCCACACAGTGTAGCTGGCTAGCAGCATGCATTATATTTGTTAGACAGGTGCCTGCAGGCATGAACCCCAACAACCTCTAGGACCAAAACCGCATAACATGTAGAATTGGGTTCCATGTGAGTGCAGCCACTTTCCAACTCTCACTTGTCTTTCCTCTTATCTCACCCCTCACCATCTTTCCATTTCCACTGCAAACAGTTGGCCTACCCCCCTTATGTGTGATCCACATGACTGCCTGTAAAAAAAACAAATTAATTAATTAAAACAAGATGTGGACCCCAGGGACAAAAAAAATACAGGCAACTCTACTGTCAGAATACTATATAAAGGAAGTAGAATACAGTGACAGTGCTAGTTTGATATACTAGCTAGTAGCAGGTAGTAATTGCATGGAGGCATTGTTACTCCCTTCTTTGTGAAAAAAGAACTAGTAATTTTTAAGCTAGAAATTATATTTTTTTATGGAGGGAATATTTATTTGAGATATTTTATTCGTTAATTTTTTTCAGACAAATTTAGTATTAAAATTTTCAGATTAAATTTTGACTATGGATTTGTCATAAATTGCATTCTTTGTAGCCATAAAAATAATATTGGCTGTGTTTAGATCCAAACTTCCAACTTTTCCATCACATCAACCTGTCATACACACACAGCTTTTCAGTCACATCGTACCAATTTCAACCCAAACTTCTAACTTTGGAAGGAACTAAACACAGCCATTGTGTAATAAAACTATAAGAGCCAAATTAATAAGAGAAAAAAAAGGCAGCTCTACTGGCGGAATACTATATACTGGTATGATACTGTGACAGTGCTAGTTTGATAGTCCTCCGGGCTATTAAATAGCCAATCTTGCTATTTAGAAGTATTAAACATAGATTACCGACGAAATCGATTCCATAACCTCTAGGCTATTTTGCCAGACGAGTATATTAATCCATGATTAGTGGATGATTACTGTAGCATTATTGTAGCAAATTATAGATTAATATACCTCGTTAGATTCGTCTCGCAAAATAGTGTAGGGGTTATGGAATGAGTTTTGTCAGTAATCTATGTTTAATACTGCTAAGGCCCCCTTTGATTCAAAGGAAATTCATAGGAATTTTAAAGGATTTAATTCCTATAGGAATTTTTCCTATATAGCCCTTTGAATCAAAGGAATGAATCCTATGGAATCCTATAAAATTCCTATGGAATGCCTCTTCCCATGCAAATTTTGAAGGAAATTTAACATGAGGTTCTACCTCATGTTAAGAATCCTTCGAGTCTTTCTCTCTCCTCAAATTCCTGTGTTTTTCCTGCGGCTCAATCAAACGGTCATTCCTATGTTTTTCCTGTGTTTTGCAATCCTCTGTTTTACACTTGTATTCCTATCAGAATCCTATGTTTTTCCCATTCCCCCGTTTTTTCATTCCTGTGATTCAAAGGGGGCCTAGATAGCAAGATTTTGGAGAGCTATTTCCGGATCCAAACTGGCCAAGCTAGTGACAGTGGCAGATAGTAATTGCAAGAAGGCAGGCAGCTATTGCGTCAGAAGAAAAACAGTGACAGTGCTAGTTTGATATACTACTACTATATTTCATTCGCTATTTTTTTAAGACAAGTTTAATTTGAAAAGTTTCAGATTAAATTTTGAGTATGGATTGTCATAAATTATATTCTTGGTAGCTATAAAAAATACTGTAATAAAATATAAGGGACAAATTAATTAATAAGAGAAAACAAACTGTTCGACCCATCCTATACATTTCCATCGCTAAATCTATGTAGTAATAAATAATGTATCTGCTGGAGGACTGGGAAATTAAAGTGGTTGAAATAGCTTGTAAAATATTACTAGCAGTATCATGCCACTTGGATTTTGAAGACTAGAAAGTCATAACACGAAAATTGATATAGCTAACACCCAAATGTATATAACAAAACAAATTTGCTCTGTAATATGGTTATGGAGGAACGGTTAATTTGTGAATCTAACTTTGACATGGTTGTTAGGGTTTGCGAGCAAATTTTCGTGGGGATTAGTATGCGTGTATTTATATAAGTGCATGCCAATGCACTGTGTTAAAAAAATCCCTTTTTTTTTCTATACTTCGAACAAAAATGTTGTGTAAATGGCTCAATTTTTCCTCTTGAACAAAATAGTCGAGAAACATAATTTGTTGGAAGTGCCTTACATGTTAAGCTCCTCTTCATAATTCAAAAATTTCACGAAAATTTCAAAGGCTTTAACTAAATCCTAAAAAAATCCCCTAAAATCACTCTGTTCTTAATAGCACAAAACCCTTTTTTTCCCTTTAATTCTCATGTAAATTATTATTATTCTGAAACAAGGCAAAATCATTTCCATATAAAGTATTATACACTCTTTAATTTTTGAGAAGCAAGTATTATACACTTGCTAGTAGTAGTTGCTCCTCCTACTGCCTAGTGTAGTGTATTAATTCGAGTTGTTGGCTTTGCTTCCCCTTTCTCGTGGCGCGCAGATTCATCGCGGTTTCGCAGTTTCCCCCGCCAACCCATTCCCGCTCCCCGCCGCGCCGCGCCTCGCCACGCCACGCCACACCGCGCCACGCCATGCCGCCGCCGCCGCCGGAGTCCGGCGAGCCAGCCGGGGACGACGTCCTGCAGAAGGCGGAGTGCCTCCGGCTGCTTGACGCGCTCCCGGCCGCCGCGGCGGCCTCCCCGGCCTTCCGCCGCCACTGGCCATCCATCTCGGCGTCGCTCGCCGCGCTCTCGGCGTCGCTGTCCCACCCCGCGTTCCCGCCCTCCGCGCCGCGCCTCCTGGCGCCCCTCGCCTCCGCGCTCTCCGCGCTCGTGTCCGTCGCCGGGAACGACGCCGCGAGCAGCCTCGGGCACCTCCACACCGTGTCGCTGCTGTCGTCGTCGGCTGCCGAGCTGTCCCAGCTCGCCGCCGACGCGCGGCTGCTCGTGTCGCCGGGGAATGGTGGGGGTGAGGGGGTGGCGGCGGGGGTGGATGGGCTGATCCCGCGACTCCGCCTCGGGTCCGCGGCTTCCCGCGCGGCGGCGCTGGACGCGCTCGTTGACTCCGTCGGGTCGCTGCCGCCGTCGGCGGCGGCGGTGGCGGTGTCCGCCGTGGCCGCGATGCTCGACTCGGGGGAGATCCTGCCGGCGTCGCGCGAGAAGGCCGTGTCCGTGCTCGCCGCGGCGCAGGCCGCGGCCGCGGGCGTGCTCCGCAACCTCGCCGCGTTCCCGGACCTCCTCCCGACGTTCCGCGAGGAGGGCGCGCTCCCGTCGCTCATCCAGCTCGTCTCCCTCGGCACCCCGCGCGCGCAGGAGCTCGCCCTGGGCTGCCTCCAGAACCTCACCTCCGGCGACGGCGACGAGTGCCAGCGCCTCAAGGTCGAGGCGTTCCAGGACGGCGCGCTCGGCTGCGTCAAGGACTTCCTCGAGTCCTGCGTCGGCGACGAGCCGGGCCTCGCCCCGGCGTTCGGCCTCCTCCGCAACATGGCATCCTTCCGCTACATCGCCGAGATAGCCGTCTCGGCCAGCTTCGTCGACCACGTCCTCGCCGCGCTGGGCAGCGACAAGGCCGCCACGCGCACGGAGGCCGCCATGGCGCTCGCCGAGCTCTGCAACGTCACCAGCCACGGCAAGACGCGCAGGGACGTCGGCGACGCCATCCCGCGCCTCATCTGGATGCTCGAGGCCAAGCCCGCCGCCGAGAGGGACGCCGCGGCGAGGGCGCTCGCCGCGCTCGTCGCGGCGAGCGGCTACAGGAAGCTGTTCAAGAAGGAGGAGCAGGGCATCGTCAATGTCGTCCAGCTGCTCGACCCGAGCACCGCCCGCGGTGGCGTCGACGCGCGGTTCCCGGTGTCCGTGCTGCTCGCCGTCTCGCCGTCCCGGCGGTGCCGGAAGCAGATGGTGGCCGCCGGCGCGTGCGGCTTCCTGCAGGCCCTCCTCGCCGCGGAGGTCGACGGTGCCAAGAAGCTCGCCGACTGCCTCGCCAGGGGCAAGATGCTCGGCGTGTTCCCACGGTCATGACACGGCTGCCGCCATTGCCACCGATCGGTGAAGAATTTCAGAGCCCTTGTGAAGATCAAATCTTTGAGCTGTATGTATGTGCTTTTTAACCAACCTGAATTTTTACATCCTGCTTTTGCTCTCTGTATCAAAAAATATGATATCAATGCTTCTGATGAAACTTTGTACAGGCTGCTTGAACCTTTCTGTTCCATAGCTTTTAGAGTGCTAGATGATGCGTGGTTTTTAGTGTGATCAAATAAGAACATGGAAAAAGATCTTGTAATTTAATCTTTGATCTGAAGAAATTGAGCTTCGTTTGCCGATGCGCATTACTGTTGCTTGTCAAATTATCTTGTGTTGTTCATTTGGCCTGATGGTTTTGTTTTTCTTCAGGGTATATGCAATTATGCATCTAATGTCATTTCATAGGTACTATAATTGTATTGGTTGAAATGGATACAACACCGACAATTGCATCATTATTCATGAGAACTAGTGGCTAACAGTTTTGGTTAACATTTTCTTGTCCGAAGCAAGTATGGCATTGTTCTCCTCAATTATTAACTTTTGTTCTACATTATTGTTCTCCTGAATTATTTCACCAAATGTTCTCTTTGATTATGAACTGGTTGCTAATGAGGGTACAATAGGTCTGAGTGGCTCATTTGCTCATAAGTCATAATTCAATGTGTAGAATAGAGATGGTTCCTCTTTTAAGATGAGGGATCAGCTTTGGTACATTTTGGTACAAGTTGGGCAAGGCCTACAATAACTTCGAACAGAGAAATGAGTGTACGATTCTGCAATACCCATCCAGTCGTGTCTTTTTCTTTCCTGACTGTATGACCACCAGTAAAATGGTTAACTGTCCACTGTTACTTAAGCTTAATTTTTGTTAAAGTTTATGTAGTAATCCTTGTTCTTTTGTAGAGTAATTGGTAATTAGGAGATGTTGATCCTAGCTTCATTTTTAACTGGAGGATTACTGATGGGTTTATAAGCTGAAGCTAGATCCAAACTCCAAATTTAAGAGTTATTTTCAGTAAGATGTTACCTGATCTAGTTGTTTCACTCGCTAAGGTCCAACAGATATGTTTGCTGGTTTCAATTGCATGATTTAATTCACATTTGTTCTGTCTTCATAGTTCATCAGTAGAAGTCTGTAAAACAATATGTGCAGAGCTAGTGAAATGTTGAAATGTTAAAAACCACCCTGTGTTGTTGGTCAATGGTAAACTGCCTATGGACTCAACTCAAACTCACATGGGGATGGGGTCAACTGGTGCAGCAAATCTACCACTCTGGCACATTAATGAGCAAGCTTAAATGTGACTACTTGGGGGCATGCTGGGTTAGGTAACCTTTTTTTTCTTCTGGACCAGACTGACTCAGATTGGAGATGATGAGCACTACACCAAAGGTTTACTAGTAACATCCATGCATATACACTCACATACATCCATAAAGGTTATGTTTAGTTTACACTAAAGTTTAGAAGTTTAGTTGAAATTGATACGATGTGATAGAAAAAATGTGTGTATGAAAGGTTTGATGTGATGGAAAGTTGGAAGTTTGGAAAAAAAAACTTTGGAACTAAACAGGGCCAAAGAAACAAACAATTCATATCTACGAATCTAATTCATAGCTAGTATTTGGTTTATTTTGGGATATATTCATAGCCAGGAATTGATTTATTTCGAGGCGGAGGAAGTACACATTGTGCAATCATGCAAGAATCATCAATCATATCACACTGTCCATGATACTGGTAGCTATGGCATTCTGTTGAGATGCAACATTCTTCTTCTTCAGTCCAAGATGCATGCATGGATGCACAGCCAGCCACATGGCCACAACTCATGGACACCTGGTGGGTATAGTTGGTGGGCAATGGTAGGAGGAGGCTCATGTCATGTGTATTGCTGTGATCCAAAAATGCTGAACAGTGTCAGGAAAATGGTTTTCCCAGAGAGGGGGCATGCCATGTTCTGATGCTGGTTAGTTTTTTCTGGAGTGAGTGCCCTGAACCTTCCTCTGATGATAACTGATCCCTCTGATCGCCACTGTTGTCGCCTTGTGATGAACCATCATGCATCTCTCATCTCTTCATGCACATCATCATTATGGCCTCATCATCCATTACGGCTCGTTTGCTGATTTTTTTTTTCTGAACGGGCAAAAGCCTTTTACCCTGAGCATTGATATATTAGCAAGGAAAAATAGTTTTACCAATTAATTGCAACCAGCTGACGCATGTCATGGAGGATTACATAGAGGGGGAATGGCACACTAGGCTAACGGCTAGTGTCACAGTAGTCGTTCGTCTCTTCTTTAATTTGGTTTTTTTTTTCTCTTTTCTTGGCATAGGTCGGTCTGACTGATTGCGTCGCGTAACAAATATTCTATTCCTCTAATATATTGACGTGCAATCCTTTTGCGCGTTTGAGAAAAAAAGCACACTAGGCTACCTAACGAAGACAACCAGACTCAAAAACAACGAGAAAAAAAGGATAGAGAAGAGTCTCTGTGAATATGGTAAGGAGAGCTCCTAGGGGACTAGGTTTCATCGTAACCTAAACCTTTTCTTCTTACACGATGTGATCGACCAAATATCACTCTCTTTATACAAAAATAATCACTTATAGTATACTTATCTACTCCCTCCGTTTCACAATGTAAGTCATTCTAGCATTTTCCACATTTATATTGATGTTAATAAATCTAGACATATATATCTATCTAGATTCATTGACATTAATATAAATGTGGGAAATATTAGAATGACTTACATTGGGAAACTGGAGTAAGTAGATTTGTAAATACACATACCATAGGCAGTTGCTGTCGTAGCCGCAGTGCTAGCTAGCCTAGCCGAACGCAACCTATATCTTGCAACAGATGGAGTAATATTTAACTTCAACCTTCGGTCTCCTTGCCAAGTTGAGAGTTTCAGGCATGAGGTGATTAATCAGCAAAGGCAGGCTTAACACTGGATTGGGAGTCAGTATCATTAGCTCCTAAGCCTGGGACGGTAATGGTGCTTAACACTGATTTTTTTTTTGGCAATTGCAAATTTACCACTACTTTAAATCGTTATCGCAAGATTGCTACTAAAAAATTATAAAAATACCACTAAAACTATCATTCAAATGACATCGTTATAATATTAAAAAAACCGGTGACAAATTTACAAATGCCCCTGCACCGACGCACACGGAGCATTGCAGTTGCATTTGCAGGCAGCAGCACTAGCTGAGCTGTCGGCCTGATCGGCAACGGCCCTGCGTGTGCCTTGAGCGGCGGACGGACCCCGGATCCTCTGCGCCCAAGGGGACCTCCGGACCTGTAATGTTAAGGGCATCGTGCGTCGCCCGAAAATTAATTGTAAACCGTAACGGTATACTAGCGATAAAAATATGTTGATTACACTGTTTGACTACTCGTCTTATCCAAAAAAATTTATGTAAATATAAAAAAGAAAAGTTATGATTAAGTTACTTTGGATAATAAAGTAAGTCACAAATAAAATAAATAATAATTCTAATATTTTTTAATAAGACGAATAATTAAACAGTACAAGTAAAAGGTCAAAATCTCTTATATTATGTAACGGAGGGAGTATTAGGTATGAAAAATTTTAACTTAAAAGTTAGTATCGCCGAAAAAATTATTTTTACAACTATCTAAAAATCAAATTTAAAATTATGTTTTAAAATTAAAATCTTTACTTTGGCTTATTCTTTTTTACAACCGATAGGAATAGGGAACTATGAGAAGTTTTTTTTATTTTCTTTGAAAAGGTATGATTATATAATTAACACAATCCCCACGGTAAAAATATACTTCAAACAAGCAATTACAACGCTTTTGTCCTAACAAAAATAAATAAAATATGTGCTAGAGAAAACAAACAGGCTTCACTTATTGGAATGACGAAACAGTGAAGTACGGACTGCTGAATTTATTTTCCTCGAGAAATTCGATCTGAATTATTTTTCCTTGACAAATCCACACATGTGACATTTTCGTGCCGCCAACATGTTTTCCTTTTTTTTAATTAACCGATAGTTTTGCTTTAATAAAATTCCAGCACAAAAGAATCTTAGAATATTTTCAAATAAAATCTTGACTTTCCCTATTTCTTAGTGAAAGGAGAGGAATCACAGAGAGTTTTCCGGCAAAAGGAATTATGGACAATACTCTTGGACACGAAAATTAATGGAGATGCCAAAACTTGAGCCATAAGAGGAGCAAAACATCTCTCAGAGTGAATATCTTAGTATTTTCCATCCCTATGTACAGTTTATTATTATTTTTATTATTACCTATTTAGCTTTTTTTTTCATGCTTTGATGAAATTGGGACAAACCAATATTGGTTTGTTCATATTTTTTTGCCCTATTTCTTGTATAATCGAGTATAATTAATTGGAGCCGGACTGTTGTTCAAATTAGCATTTGTCAATTGTCAATTTGTCATGCTTCCACCAGAATTGGACTACTCCTATCTGAATTTTGAGACCACTGTGTTTCAAACTTACCGACACAATGCTTGGCTAAATTGTGAGACAAGCCACAGTGAAATCAAACTGTTATTATGTCCATGGTGAAGGGCTCAACGCACTAAATCACTGTTTAGTGTTATTAACTTCTTCATGCACGGCCGTAGAGGTGGATCAGAGACAATTAAAAATTTTTCCGGCTATTTATAACGGCCACAGTGAATCCAGGACATTGACAGCTTTCTGGAGAAAGGGCTCTTCTGTTTAGTGTTAAAGATGCTGCTGCTGCGTGCTTTGTTTGACCTCACTAATCTCGCTTTTCCACTATGGAAGTCTTTCTAGCTACTCCCTGCAACTGTCCTGTCCTTTGTGTTTTCCTTTTTGCAAAGTTGAATCACTGTTGTAGAAGGCTGAAAAGAAAATTTTTAGGTGTCACATCGGATGCTTGACTGATATCAGAAGGGGTTTTTAGACAGAAATGAAAAAACTAATTTCATAACTTGCCTGAAAACCGCGAGACGAATCTTTTGAGCCTAATTAAGCCGTCATTAGCACATATGAGTTACTATAGCACTTATGGCTAAGTTCAAAAGATTCGTCTCGCGATTTCCATATTAACTGTGCAATTAATTTTTGTTTTTATCTATATTTAATGCTTCATGTATATGTGCAAAGATTTGATGTGATGTTTTTAGGAAAAAAAATTAGAACTAAACCAGCCCTTAGATAATATAGCTAAACAGTGCAAGTTCATGGATGGAACTCGATCGTAAGCTCCAATAATGACTCGATCGTTCGGAACGCACAAATTTTCAATGTTTTCATTGGATTTAGTTCAATTATTGT